AAATTAACTCAGGTAATGCAAAGAAACTGAACAAATTAGTGTCCTGAACATAAGACCTGTATGTTGTTTAACTTTGTCATGGTGTGCTCGTCATATTGTTGTGTCACAGGAGCCGGTGTTGTCTAAAGAACAGCCTGCCTTTCAGTACAGCAGCCACGTGTCTCTACAAGCCCCCAGTGGGCACATGTGGTGAGTCCCTGCTTCATATTCCACCATGGCATTGATATTTGTCAAAATTTTATGACTTATTTGAATAACTGTTAAGCTGTTTTTAAATACTATGACTGGCATTTTTTGTTGTGCACTTTAATTAAGTCACTGTTTGCCCCATTGTTTTCTTTTTTAGGGGGACATTTCGTATCGAGAGAACGGACGGCTCCCACTTCGATGTTCGCATTCCCCCTTTCTCCCTGGAGAGCAACAAAGACGACAAAGCGCCCCCTGCTGGCTACACATTCTAACCACAAATAGCCACCTCCAACTGCGTGTACAACCCCGGACACACTTTCAGTCCTGGTCCTGTCTGGGTTTTTTTTTAAAATCCTCCTCATGCCTCAGCCTTCAGCATAAGACTAGCGTCAGTCAGGTTTATGCAAAGGGAATATATGTATCACAATTTCCAGATCATCTCCTCATCAGGTCGCCCTTTTTCCTGAGTGAGCACAACAGCAGTATGACATTGATTCAATCACATAAGGTAGAAAACGGCCTGCAGTTTGTGCGTCTTCACTTCATGCTGAGTTTGAAGATGTGCACAGTCAAGTGGAAGAACATTGGAAGGCAGGGAGGGCAAATATTGTTGCCATGCTGAGCTGCACATGTTTGCATCAAATAGCTGAAATATCGAGCAGGATGTTTCTTGTCTGGGAATTTTTTTCCCTGCTGAGTTCTGAGTTCATGAAAAGAGCATTGACTCTGGTTGAGCGTCACACTGAGGCGGCAGCTGGAAACACAAAGCCATCACTTCGACTTCATGTCACAAACTCCTCCCGCTGATGTTCTCCTTTTTAATCTCTGAAGACATGACTTTTATCCTGGACTTCTTCACATCATGTTTAATTTTGACATTATTCTATGAAAGTTTAGTAAGTTTAATCACACCCCAGTGAGTCACTTGTGAGAGGGGAATCAGATTGACGTCAGCGCCTGTATTTTTTTTTTCATTTTTACAATATTGAAGCACAGGAGGATGAATCTTAGCAGAAAAGGACTCTTAATCCAATCTTAATCAAACTGAACCTCTGAAAAAATCAAGAGAAGAAGAAAAGTAATATTTTTATCAGGTGTAATTTGTGATACTCCCGTCATATTGTTTAAGGAGGCTCTATCTTATCTTTGTGACGACACTGTAGCAGCTGTCAAGCCTCTGAGATGCAGCTTTATTCAACCCATTAGGTCACTCTTCACACCTTAACTGCACACTGCTCTCTGTTTAAATGATCACAGTTTCATAAAAAGACTCAACAGCTCCAGATGTAACACTAGTATGCAGACCTCATGATTATAATATTTGTATTTCAGAACATTTTTGAAGGGATTTTGTTCCTTTTGGACACGGAGAACTACTTCTCTTAAAAACTTTCTTCTAGAAACTCTAAAGTTCAATCCACTGTGCTTCAGTGTTGAGAAAGATGAAATTAAAAACGATAAAGTGAACCCTTTTATTAGAAGTGAACTGTTTGTCTTAACGGCCAAAAAATATCCCTTCCCTTGCTGGAAAAGCGGTAGGGAGCGGGTCTTAGCTGTCCTGGGATAACATGCAGCATACCGTAAAGTAATTAAACAAAGCGGCTAGCAGCCAGAGTTGTGTTGTGAGTTGGTGTTTGTGTGTGTGAAATGTCTACTTTCTTTCTCTCTCTCTCTCTCTTTGTTTTAAACACCTGAATGAAGTCTTCATCCTGCACACATACAAACATGCCGTCTGTCTTTTGTTAAGGCTGAGCGCTTGACTTTTCAAACTTCTGTGACGAGAAACATGAGCCTAAAAGTTCTCTGCTAAGGTGAGGAAGAGAAACTAACATCTGTGTTTTGATAAGTGATTTGAAGCTACTATGATGGTTAAAAGACTACTGTAAATAGAGATGTAATTAAAGGCTAAACTAATAAATATACCTTTTGAAAAATAAACCTTCACTGTGCATGTTTGTGTCGTTAATGCATGAAGCTGCGCTTTAGTGAAAATCAAACAATATCAAAATCTGTTTGAATACCACAGCAACAAAAATATTGAAAACTATGACACCATATATTGGGTAGTTTATCATTTTAATTACCAAATGTAACGTCCTCATGCTACTACTAGTTTCAGCTTTTATGTTTTATATAGTTTATATTTTAAATAATATTGTAAAGCACATATTATTAAATAGGTCATCATTGATTCTGCCTCCACCAGAGGGCGGTGCAGTCATGTCGCTCTTCTGGCTCCATGTAAATAAAGCAAGGGCTCCCACAGCCTGCGACCCCTTGGGGGCTTCTGACCCCTATTTGTGGAACTACTATAATAGAGGATGATCCTTGAGATATCAATTACTGCTTTGAGTCCTGATAGGATGAATGTCTAGCTTATTGTCTAAAGGACAGAATTAAACAAAGTATATATTGTTTCTTGTTTTCCATGTGCAAAAGTACAGCATCTATTTTTAAAGAAATGCAACTGAGAGAATACACAGTAATATTTAATATGTACTATCAGTCCAATCCACTTCATTTATGTAGCACATTTTGAAAGCATTGACGTGTATTGAAGTGCTGCACAGTGAATAAAAAGCAGAAATAAAAACACTGCAAAATATATAAAACACAAAAGAACAGAACTATGGAGGCCCTTGAAGTACCAGAGAGTAAATAATGTATCTTGTGCAAAAGGTAAAATTCTAATGGAAACAAGTTGTTTTCTTATTTTTAAACAATTTTTTAAATCTTTTCTGACAAGTTGTTCTTTTATTCACACAAGTGAAAACAAGTTTTTAATCTTGTATGTCAAGTTATTATCTTGTGGGACCAAACTATTAATTTGTAGCCCAAGTTATTTACTTGTCTGAATCTTTGGCACGAGAAATAATTAAATTACATGTACAAGATACGTATTTCCAATAATTTAATTATCTTGTAAGCAATACACAATATAGATATATATCTTGTGCACACAAATTAACATTTCACCTTTTGGACTCCTGGGGACCCATACATATCTGTTAAATAAATACATTCATAAAGAAAGAGTTATTTAGAAATAAGAATTCAAAAATGCCTCTTAAGTAGAGTCAGAATAGAATCCACTATAAAAGACTTAAATATTACCAAATAACTATGACCTGCTGAAAAGCAGGAACAAAACTTCAAACTAAGTCGTAGGATTTGGTGAAGCGTCGTGTTTCACATCTGACAAGTTTAGGTTCAAACTTGACGGTCCTGGTGATCCGACAGCCCTCCCCTCCCTCTCTCCTCCTATCTCTCTCTCCTCCTATCTCTCTCTCTCTTCTCTCTCTCTCTCTCTCCTCCTCCTTCTCCTCTCTCTCCTCCTCCTCCTCTCCTCCTCCACTCTCCTCTCTCTCTCCCTCCTCTCCCCTCCTCTCTCTCTCTCTCTCTCTCCTCCTCTCTCTCCTCCCCTCTCCCTCTCTCTCCTCCTCCTCTCTCTCTCTCTCTCTCTCTTTCTCTCTCTCTCTCCCTCCCTCTCTCCTCCTCCCTCTCCTCCTCCTCTCTCTCTCTCTCCTCCTCCCTCTCCCCCTCTCTCTCCTCTCTCCCTCCCTCTCTCCCTCTCCTCCCCTCTCTCTCCTCCTCTTCTCTCTCTCTCTCCTCCCCCTCCTCCTCTCTCTCTGTTCTCTCCTCCTCTCTCTCTCTCTCCTCCTCTCTCTCTCCTCCTCCTCCTCTCTCTCTCACTGTCTCTCTCCTCCTCTCTCTCTCTCTCACTCCCTCTCTCCTCCTCCTCTCTCTCTCTCCTCCCCCCTCTCTATCTCCCTCTCTCTTCCTCTCTCTCTCTCTCTCTCTCCTCCTCTCTCTCTCTATCCTCCTTCTCCTCTCTCTCTCTCTCCCTCTCTCCTCCTCTCTCTCTCCCCCCTCTCTCTCTCCTCCTCCTCTCTCTCACTGTCTCTCTCCTCTCTCTCTCTCCCTCTTTCCTCCTCTCTCTCTCTCCTCCTCTCTCTCTCCCTCTCTCTCTCTCTCTCTCTCTTCCTCTCTCCCTCTCTCCTCCTCTCTCTCTCCCTCTCTCTCCTCCTCTCTCCTCTCTCTCTCTCCTCCTCCCCCCCTCTCTCTCTCTCTCTCTCTCTCTCTCTCTCTCTCCCTCTCTCTCTCTCTCTCTCTCTCCTCCTCTCTCTCTCTATCCTCCTTCTCCTCTCTCTCTCTCTCTCCCTCTCCTCCTCTCTCTCTCCCCCTCTCTCTCTCTCCTCCTCTCTCTTCTCACTGTCTCTCCCTCCTCTCTCTCTCTCCCTCTTCCTCCTCTCTCTCTCCCCTCTCTCTCTCTCTCTCTCTCTCTTCCTCTCTCCCTCTCTCCTCCTCTCTCTCTCCCTCTCTCTCCTCCTCTCTCTCTCCCTCTTCCTCCTCTCCCTCTCCCTCCTCTCTCTCTCTCTCTCCTCCTCCTCTCTCTCTCTCTCTCTCTCTCTCTCTCCTCCTCCCTCTCTCTCTCTCTCCTCCTCCTCCCCCCTCTCTCTCTCTCTCTCCTCCTCCTCCCTCTCTCCTCTCTCTCTCTCTCTCTCCTCCTCCCTCTCTCTCTCTCTCCTCCTCCTCCCCCCTCTCTCTCTCTCTCCTCCTCCCCCCTCTCTCTCTCTCTCTCTCTCTCCCTCTCTCCTCCTCCTCCCTCTCTCCTCCTCTCTCTCTCTCTCTCTCCTCCTCCCCTCTCTCTCTCTCTCTCTCTCCTCCTCCTCCCTCTCTCTCCTCTCTCTCTCTCTCCTCCCCCCTCCCTCCCTCTCTCCTCCTCCTCCTCTCCTCCTCTCTCTCTGTCTCTTGAGCTCACATGCACACCCTGCGCGCTCCCTGAGCTCAGAGCTACAGCTGAACAGAGGGTGTAATACATAATTCAGTCCCAGTACGGGAACACCTCACAGTTTCTCCACCTTCCCTGTCAAACCGCGGAGCCGCTGCAGCCTCAACACAAACCCCGGGGACCGAGACACCGACGCGGCTACTCTCCTTGCTCCGGAGCGGATGGAGGATCAACCTTGGAGAAGGACGAGGGCGGTGTTTGTTGCAGGTTTTGCATGACTTCCAGCGGTCGAGAAACAACAGACAGTCAGCTGCGATCTTCAGGAGACGTAAACATTGCCATGCCCTGATTCATGCGCCACCTCCTCTTGTCATCCTCCTTCTCCTCCGCCTCCTCTTCCTCCTCTGGTCCAGGACAGAGGGATCTGTTTTAGGAGGAACAGAGGAGGATGATGACGCAGCTGTCGGAGGTAAATATTTTGCAGACGTGGTGAAGTTGTGTTCGGGATAGGAGGCTGCAGCGGGCCACAGTCTGCATTCTGAGTATCCTTGCATCCTGACTCTGCTGTGTCCGTGTTTTGCGGCCATGCTGCAGGCAGCGTCCTCCGACCTGTTCCCGACTTGATCCTCTCTCCTTTGGATTATAAACAACTTCTTAAAAGAAGAAAACTACTTGGCCAGCCTCTCTCTGTTTTCAAGTATTATTTTGTGCTGTAGGACCATCCACGACTCTGTTTTCTGAGTGAAAATTAACATTTTATGTGCAGAAAATAGCGATTTTCTGTTCTAAATGCTTCACTCTCCAGCCCCAAAACTGCGTGTTTCCTAAAAAGATGTAAGCAGCTGCAGATTTTAATGAGCAAAGCATCTCTCCAGCATTAGTCAAACCTCCTCTGCATGACTCCTCAGTGGGACCAGTGTTGTCATTATCACAGCTCACGTTAACGCAGCACCATGGGGGCCAAGCAGACCAAAAGCCAGGAGCCTGGAGGAGCCAGCCCGCAGCACAGCTGGAGGCGGACGCCCACCAAGGAGCGGGGAGACATCCTGGCCTCCCTCATGCTGAAGTCAGGGGACAGGCTGAACCGTGGGGGGACGCCGCCGCCGCCCTACCAGCGACGCATCGGTATGATCCAGGAGATGATGCTGATGGCCAAGCAGGGCAAGCAGGACGAGGCCACGGAGATGCTCAGGACCCTCCGACAGGTAACTGCTGAGAGTGTGTGTTTATGTGTTCATGTGTGTGTGTGTGTGTGTTGGATCAGGGGTCACACCTTCAACACAACATCTCTGCTAATTTTTATTTTATGCTTTCTTCTTCCGTTCTGTTTTTTTCTGGGTACACATGTCAGTTTCTCATGGTTTTAATATTATCACCAGAGCCGTGTCCAGACTTTTTTTTTTTTAATGGGGTGGCCAAACAGGGGCACCGAGTTCTGCAGGGATCAGTGGCATGGGTTCATTCTTTTAGGAAGGAAATGCAAAACAAAAGCAGAATTTGCACACACAAAGTGACACTAATGACACCTACACCCCCCCCCCCACCTCCTGCAGGTGACATGTAAGCATTGACACAAGCAGTATAGTTTCCATATGTAACACCAGGCAGAAAAAACATTTTACAACATGACCTACAAACTGACAGCCCAGTAACCTACTGAACCTGCCGAGGAAATAAACACACATCATAATTTAGATGACTTAACCTGAATCTTAACCAGGTAATGATAATCTCAAGTGTGTGCACAAACAAATACAGTAGTATAACAATTCATAATAATACACACAGTCACAGTTAAATCAATACAATAAAAACTAAGCAATATAACCGTCATGCATAAGAAAAACACGTGTAGCCAAATGAGCAGTTTAGTCAACAGTAAAGCTGCAGAAAGGAGAGAAGGTGATGATGAGTGATGTTGTTCATGGTGGTGAAATGAGATTGGTTATTGGAGTGGCTAGCTGTTTAATCTTCAGCAGCAGATCTGTATTCTAGTGATTTCCGTCATTTAAAGTCCAGCTTCATCCCTCCCTTTATCGCTGTTTAGCACTAGTTTTTGAGTTACTCTGCCATCACATTTCATTTTAAGTTATTTTTGAACTGCAAACTCCATATCTCCTGCCTACATAACTGCAGATGCTAATAAAAGCAGTCTGAGGGGAGTCTCATGTCATTTCAACAACGCCCCATCTTTGGACTCATTGAAAAAACTTCTCAAAAACCGTCTTGTTGTCCACAGTTCAAACTTGGAACTTGGGTCCCTTGACAGGCGCTATATAAAATATTATTATTACTGTTGTTTCATTTCAGCCATGTGTTACTATGCTATGATCTGATTGGTTGAAAGCTGGAGGATGGCTCACGTCCCTTGGCTACATCAATTGATCAATCATGTATGCCATGCTAAGCTAATAGCCTGCTGTCTCCTGCTCCTTACACACACAGTGCACGGGCTTGTGAGTGGTATCAATCGTCTTTTTAGAAAAACAACAATGAAAAAATGTAACATAAAAAGGAACTATGTGAATTTATTAAAACTAATGCTGATTAGGGGGGCTGGTGGTGCAGTGGTTAGTGCGTGCGCCCCATGTATGAAGGCTGTGGTCCTCCAAGCGGGCGGCCCTAGTTCAAATCCGACCTGTGGCTCCTTTCCTGCATGTCATTCCCTACTCTCTCTCTCTCCCTGATTTCTGACTCTATCCACTGTCCTGTCTCTCATTCTACAATTCTACAATTCACTTAGCAGATGTTTTTATCCAGAGCGACGTACATCAGAGAGTAAGTACAACACAAGCAAGGATCTAGAAGAAAGGGAACAATGTCAGTAAGAGCAAACGATCAGCTTTGAGTCTGATTGGACACACAGGTGCTGACAGGAAGTGACCAGAGACAAAGCACAACATTGAGTGCAGTTCTTGAGAGCTCTAATCAGTATAGAAACCATCTTATAAGTCATCGTTATCAAACAAAAACCATCGCCATTACATCATCATCATCATCAATATATCTCATATAAAAGGACAAAATGCCCAAAAAATATATCTTAAAAAAAAAAATTACTGCTGATTTCATATATTGTTTTTTAGCAATTTGCAAATGATGTTGTTTTTGATACCATGGTGTATACTTTTTTTCATACAAATATTGGCTAAAGTCTTCAGATAAATGTTCTAAGCGCAAGTAGGACAACTTCACCTGAATATAACGACTGAATTTGCTGAATTGTTATCTTGAAGTAAATCCGTTTAAAGAATACAGAACAAGAATAATGGATTTATTGTACTCTGAATGAGCTGTTACTCAAGTCTAGTTTTTTATAACCATTACCTGTCTGACTGAACCCAGACCCCCCCAGTAGGTTGGACACCTGTTGTGTTGAGCTGGGGTCTGCTGCACTTTTACTCCGTAGAGCCTTCTGCTTCGATTTATTTCCTCTCTGTATCTTTCAAGACATTTTGCAGAACCTGGCTGGCTGTCAGGCTGGCAACTGCTGCAGCTGCTGCCACAGAGAAAACAAAAAGCCATGCAGCAGACAGAGAGAAATAATCTGCTAGTGAGAAAAACAAAAGAGAAGCAGGGGACATAAAAAAGCCACTGGTTGAATTGGAGGGCTGCAAAGAAAGGGGGAGTAACAGGAGTGAAATTACGAGATAAAAAGTCAATCTGGGCTTTTTATTGTATGGATGAGAAAGAAAAGAAAAGAAGCACAAACACAGCGCTGCACAGAATCTATATGCTGCCTGTGTTGACTGTTCATCCCCCTATGACTCAACCACAGGGAACAGAGTCTGCGCTTTTTACACACACACACACACACACGCACGCACGCACTCACGCACACACGCACACACACACGCTGCTTTCACAATTTATTGTTTGGGCTTTGGAGATTTCCATCAGCTCCTTTCTTTTGCTATTTACATTTTTCTCATTAGACCCATTTACATTGTTGATCCTTAAATCAATGTTAACCAGTAGAGCGAAGCACTCAGGCTTAAAGACGGCGGACACCTCTCCATCCATCATTGTTAAGAGAGGAGGGGGATTACCGTCTCTGTCATGGCCTGATTAAACTATGATACCTCAGAGGAGGAGAACCACACCTCCCACAACACGGAATTTTTTTTTTCGATTTTTTTAAGATGCTTTAAAAATCAGCCAATTAGTCGTTTAGCCAGTCAAGCAAAAATGTGCACATATTTTTGCTGTGAAGTTGGGTCTTTTACAATGGAGCCTAATTGACTCACTGTTGGAGTGGCAACCCAATGGCTGTGCTGGCTTCATTTCTCAGCCTGAACATTGTTGCTTGTTTTATTTAGCATCAGCTAACTAGTTTGAGGCCAAAGGATGGGCTTGAAGGGTATAAACAACATTTTTTTATCTGCTGGGTCGCAAAAACAAAATCAGAGGAGCTACTATAAGTCCTTTGGTTATTATGAATCTGTGTGTAGAAAGATTATATTTGGCGTTCCTCAAGGATCAATTCTTGGGCCCATTCTTCTTTAAAAAACAACATGCTGCCACTTGCTCAGATGTTAAAAAAATCATAACATCTCTTACCATGCTCATGCAGATTATGCACTTCTGTATATCTGAGTGTCATCACATGACTACAGTCCCTTTGACCAGGGTTTCTCAATCCTGGGGTGCGTTCGAATTGTCCCTCCTATCTCCTTTCACTATCCACTTTACCTTAACCCCGGAGAAAACGTCATGAGGTTAAGGAAAGATGTTAGGAGAATTCATAAAGGACTTAGGGAAAGATGATCATGTTGCTCTGACAAATCCGACCACATTTTCCACTAGGCCACGTCATTAAATGCGTCGGGCCGGCAGAGGTTCATGACGTGGGTCTGCTGTGGTGAAACTACAATGTTCAGAAAATGGACTACAAAAAGCGCATCTAAAAAACTTTCCCCTGTGCCTTCTTACTGGTGAAATAATCCTAATCACCACAAGGTTGGGATTTAAATACAATAAATATAGACTACCAGGCTACTAGTAACAAAAGTGAAACCATCACCTTCCTGTCCACTCATAAATCAACATCAAAATAAATATGATTGTATGAAATTAATTGTTACATTTATGTAAGCTATAGCCTACACATAACGTTTTAAGCATACCAATGTACAACTGCACAGCATTCTTAAGTGAATGAAATACGTTGAATAAAACATCATCTGGATAAAAATGTATCTTGTCTTTTTATCCCTTACATGATCTGTGTCACTTTACGATCATCGATGTTCGTGAACGGTCGGATGCGCAACTCGCTTTAAATGTTGCGGCCGAAAGGAATTGTGGGGCGGCATATCTCATCTCCTTTGGTAAAGGATGGTCCAGTGTATCCTATGCTAAAGGAGGTTATAAAGGAAGCATTGACCCACCTTTCCTTTGCTTTTGAGAGAATTTGGACAGCTCTTATCATGGCCGCCACTTCAATGCTTCCGGGTCATCCCACTCAGTTAGGAACCTTCCTAAGCAAAAATGACAATTCGAATGCGCCCATAGTCCTGGGGACTCACACCTGATTCAAATGAATCGGTCATGATCAGGCTTCTTGATGAGCTGATCATTTGAATCAGGTGTGTTGGAAGAGGGAAACATCTAAAACATTTTTTTTCAGAAGCTTTTGGGGTTGGGGTTAAGTGATCGGCCTTAAGGGGGAAAATGTCTCTGGTTAGTAGAGGAGTGCTGATGAAGGAGCTGGGCTCCAAATTAGCTCTTAACAGAGCTCCTGCTTGATTAATCAATGTCTATTTAGTCTGGGCAGTGCAGCCAAGCGTCTTTGTTTACGGGCAGAAAGGAGGGGAACCTGGAAAATGGCAGAAAGAGGTGTCTCCTTTTCCCACAAACAAGCTCTCTTTCTCCTCTTTTATTTCTGTGTCAGTACCTCATTCTTTCCTGACGCCTGTCTTCTCATGTTTAAGTAATCACTGCTTCTCTTCCTTTCTGTTTCTCCATCAGTCTGTCACAGTTGTTCCCTCTCTGCTGTCCTTATCGTCAGTAATTGTCGTTACCCAATTCATCGTGTGATTCGTCTGTCACGTACTGTTCTTACAGAGAACAGCGCCTCCAGAATATGGAGCCTAATGAGAGTCAAATTAGGCTCGGCAAGTTTATTTCTATCCCACGTTTCAACAACAAGACAATCTAAGCGCTTCACACAGGACATCAAAAGCATCACGTCATAGGAAAAAAA